ATCCCCTCGAGTCCGGCTTCTATCACAGCAGGGAAGTCCCGGTCCCTGCACAAGAAAACGGAGGTGAAGAATTGGTTAAAGAGGTCCGCTTTCTCTTCTGACGCAACCACCAAATTGCCCAAGCATTCAGCATTACAGATTCAAGCATCTGTACTGATTTTGAGCGTGCTTGAGGCCTCAGTTGCAACAATGTTCTTGTACCCAACATAGAGACCTATCTACAGCACACCCAAAAAAACTCTGAAGTCAACTGCTTTCATTTTCAACTTCTTCATTGGGCCAACCATGTCATCCATGTATATCCAACTCCCAGCTCAGCCAAGGCATATGCTCAAGAGGAGGGCAGAGGAAGCACTTTAGGGATGTCCTCACAGCCAACTTAAAAAAAATGTAACATCGATATCAACTCCTGGGAGACTATCTCTTGGGACCGCCCCAAATAGAGGAAGAGTCTACTGCAGGGATCTCAGTACTTTGAAACCTCGCGACAACAACAGGAAGTGCAAAAGGTAGGCTTCATCAGCCATCTTCGGTCACATAGATGAGACGGTCATGGAAGGTAATCATCCTTGACTGCGAGAGGTTGCTGAAGAAGTTGATGATAATGGCTTATTGGCCATTGTCTTCACAAAGACAACAGATTCTGACTTCTTAGTCGGGAGCACTATACAGATTCTTTGGGATCTTCTAGATATGTCGTCTGTATTTAGAAGTTATTTCAAGGCTGTGGCTCTTAAATGCTATATCTTTATGTACAACTATTCCTTGGAAACGCTAGAGGTGAGCTAGTCCACCCAGTGACTCGCACCTACTTCATGCTTCTTTGGTGTACATCCCAAGTTCGCTCTTCACTATCGCTAGGACTGTTCCCTGACCTATCTGGACTGTTCAGTCTCTGCTACTTCTACCCTCTTGGCCTCAATTCACTGAACACCGGTTTATAACTAGCTTGCTTAGAAAACGGAATTTTTCATACTAGGCAATAGTTAACCAGGTCTAACTCTGTGAATAGCACTTGGGCATGTTTTGGCAGTTTCTGTGGAATTAGAAAAGGGTGACTTGGCCTCAGTTCAAAAAATGTCAGCTATGTATAAGAGGCTATGCCTGTATATCCCATTGGATGGTGCAAGGGAGTATTCCTGTGAGAATAAGCCCTGTACACTTCCTTCCACTCTGTGCTCCTCCATGCTAAAAGCATGTTGTACGGTTCCTTTTTGGCATGTGCCCAAAGCGTGCCTACCACTGTTTTAACAGCAACTACACAACATTTCATCACCCTGCATTGCATTCAAAGTGGAAACAGTTGGATGGCACGTGTCTTCATGGCAGTTGTCCCTAACACAGCCTGAGCGGTAAAGACACCACTAGCTTACTGCGGGTATTGTCCAGCTGCTAGCCTAGGTGGGGGGAGCAGAGAGAGAGCATGCCTGGAGGAAGAGGAAACCTAGTCTCTTATGAATATTTAGGCTGTTTCCAGTGGAGAACACTGGTGATGAGTCAACTTTAGATGATCTTGCTGTCACTGCTGGATGAGAAGATTTCATACTTGAAATATTTGAATTTTTATTGGTGTACACTAATTGAATACTAATCAAGTTCAATAGAGCATTCAAAGGCTGGTGAGGCTTGTCTTGCTTAGCAGCGACATCACCGTTGCTTGGTTAAAGGAATCGCCACAGATGTCACAAGTAAGCTATCAGTGGCATCTTGAAGATTGCTATAAAGAATTTACTTCTGCTTTGTACGTTGTAACTAGCTGTCTTGATCCTGGAATGGGAGTGTAGCTGGCAACTCGTGCATTGGGGGAGCTCTGGAATCTGACTTCAGGTATGTCTGGAGGTTGGATGACCACCTTACCGGGGTCATTTGACCCCAGTGCTCTTCCTGCCATGGCAGGGGGTCGGACTAGATGATCTGCTCAGGTCCCTTCTGACCCTAGAAACTATGAAAATATGAAACTGTCTGTATGACCTACCGCTGTACCCAGGAGAGCTCGTGAGAATCCAGCACCATGCGCTGGCTCTTACTTGTGCTTACCCAACCTTGAGTAGGTGACTTGGGGTCTTTTCTGGGCCATGCCTTCAGGACCCCATTCAGCCATCTACTCTGCCTAACTGGTGGGCTTGGGTGCAGGCAGAGTAGGAGCAAGTTGACTAGCCTTCATTGCATTTGTTACTGCAGAGCAATATTTCTAATATGTCTTTTTAGACCAGGACATATCTATACTGGCTTGCCAGGGAGCCAGTATAGATATGTCCTGGTCTAAAAAGACATATTAGAAATATTGCTCTGCAGTAACAAATGCAATCTTTTTTGAGCAAAATGATGTTCTAGTAGAAGGCAGGGCATGGGTGGCACACTACAGACTGGTGTCGTTCTGCCCTGCATTTTGCCCGACTTCATACCTGACGTGGCTTACTACCTCTCTCTATAGTCTAATATTAATTGTTGGCTCAGTTCAAAAGACTTTGTCTGGACAGTGGGTACTGGCACACTTATGTAAAAATCCTGTTGTAACCTGGCTTTGTACTTTTTGCCTCTGTAGATGTTCTTGCTCTGGCAGTTGCCATCAAAGAATTGGCCGTCTCCACACGCAAGGCTCGTACCGCTTTATGGTGCGCGTTGCAGATGACTCTACCGCAGACCTCCTTGAGCAGTCCCGTAAAACAGGAGGAAGTTGAAAGGGCGCTACAAGAGCTTTGCCCTAGGAATGCAAGCACGCAAGAAAAAGACAGTGTGGGACATGAAGACAAGGGAAGCAGAAAAGAAAAACCTGAAGAACCAATGCAGATTTTTGAATAAAAGCGAAAAAATAAAAAAGGGGGGTGAGGGGGAGGGAATAAGTGCATTGTAATGTACTAGACCTTTTTTGCTAGGTTATACAAAATGAGAATAACATCACCGATCAGTACTGCAGTTTTATTACTGTGATTCTGGTGTTGCAACACACTACTTGTATAATAGTGTTACTGAAGTTTTAATATTGCTGGTATATTGCAGTGTCTACTTCATAAAATAAGGATTTTATTAATAAGGGGAACTGGGCAGGAGCTGAGCATTTCCTTGACCACTTACCCAAAGCTCTGTGTCGGTTATGACTCAAGTCATCAACTGAGTAACCAGTGAGTGGCTAGGCTAATTTTTTCATTTGTTATACAATGTATCCTATTTGAGAAATGTCATTTAAGAGTTATTTTATAGTTGTTGGCCTTTTTTGCATCATTATGTAGTTCTTTTAAGTGCCAAAGTGATTGCTAAATCATCTAATTTTCTATCGTGTCACCCCACACTGAATGGTCCACACTTTTATGCGGTGTTATTGTGACAGGTTGTCTAATCTTTCGGGTAATTGCCAAAAGTCTGATGAGAATAATCGGTGTTTAATGTTGGGTACATGAAATGCTTCAGCAAGTTGTGCTGCCTGTCTAAACCAAATTTTCCCACGGAGTAGTCTGTTACAAAATTTTAGATTTAAAAAATGATGGAGACTTTAGAGTTGTATTAAATGTTACATTAAGAGAGATGTTTGCAGGTGATATAAACTTATCACTCAGGAGTAGAAAATTTAGATTTACTGATGCCTCAGTGGGTTAAAAAGAGTAACAATATAATTTAGTATGCACTTAATTGAAATGATGTGGTTATTAATATATGTTTATGGTACTATAATTTTCTGAAACATTCCATATTTATTTTAATATTTTAATTGTATGCTTATTTAAAAATCTATTTTAGTAATATACTGTTGGGTCTTTTGCCAAACCTTCCTAATAATCATAATTAACGATTTACTCAGGAAATATGTATATTATATATAAATATACACATGGTATTTAGGGATTTTTTGGGGGAAGAGATGTTTGCAAAATATTTACATAAAGCTAACTATATACTAGGTTACCAAAGCTGTTTAACTGGTTTGTTTTAGCATGAGAAGGTGTCATATATTTAATTGCTATTACTAGTTGTCATCCTGTGGCTTAGACAATCAGAAGTGTTATGTATCAATGTGAATGTACAGGGTGAGAATTAGAAAAGGAAGAGTAATTCACGTTTTGTTCTTATTGCACTAATTATAAGTATTTTAATGCTTTAACAATCGTGTCTTAATGTTAGATTGTCTCTTAAAATGTACTAATAACCAAGTAATGTCTTAGGTGTTAGTATGTTGATGGACAGCTTTTGAAGAGCAGCTTGTGTTTTAAAAATAATTATGCTGAGGATAGCAAGAAAGGCTGAAAGGCTCCAGAAGAGAATTGATCTGTGGTTCATAATGTTATAATGTTGAATTTGACTTTATGCGTAAATACAGAATCCTGTTTCCACATATATGCACCTGCTAAATATTTCGGGCAGTCTGTAGTTTTGGACCTGTGAATGTGGGTTTTTTCCCAGAACAGACGTAGTTTCGTAGTACTGTTATTAACAGGGATGAGGCAACGAATGTGCAGTTTTGTAGAAGAAGCCCAGAGAAGCCTCATTTTGACCTGCTGATTTTTAAAAAATGAAAAACAAAGAAATAGTCAAAAGGCAGAATCTGATTGCAACTATGCTCCGTGCTTTGTAGGGAAAACCCAGTTCAGCTCAACTGGATATTTTTTTCAGTATTAGTCTAAACCTAGAAGTCCATTTTAAAGAGAACTAGTTCACTGCAGTGCGGGTGGGTTTTCTGTATGTGTGCAGTTTTATTTGCACAAATGAATTTCAGAAGGTCAAATAGGCTTTTGTGAGAAGTTAGCTGTAGTTGGTAGTCTAAAAGAACGCCCGAGTTGCAGCATTTGAGTTAATAATGGAATTTGTGTGTTTTGATTTTGATGATGATTAACAGGAAATCGGAGTTTGAACATCTTGATTTTGCATTTCTGTTTACAGAATGATTATAGTTCTGCAGGATTGTTTTGTAATAGTGAATGTACTGGACGTACTAAGTCCTTGTATTTTTTTTGTGTGGTGTTTATTATCGTGAAGGAATGTGGTCCTAATTGGTTCCTAATATAGTTAATGTGCCTTTTAACAGTCTTATTTTTCAAAAACGGTAAGTAACTGTGTATGCTCACTTCGGCTTTCTATTGCAATTTAATAATACATTTAAAGGGGTTACAATGTAGCTGCACTTGACTATAGCTAAGAAGTAGCATATATCAATATTGTTCTTGCATAATGTTCGATTTGTCCAGTTATTGGGATCTTTTAACAACTGTAAAGCACCCTAGCTGTTGAGATTTGTCACGAGTCAAACATATTAATAACTGATCTTGGTTGCAACCAGTGTGCTTGCTTAATTTGTTTTGACTTGATCTGCTTGTTTCTTCATAAAAACGAAGTATGCGATGGACACGTTAGCATGGAAATATTTTTCTGTGCGTTTCTTGCAATACTCTAACAATAGCAGCAATAGAAATGCAGACGACAAAACGGAACTGCTAGAATGTCTTAATTCTGTGTGCGACGTACCCCATACACTCCTATTTCAGGGGAAAATAAGTCTTTTGTAAATGGACCAGTTTGCATTCAGGGTTGCAGTCCCCTGAACACACCTAGTATTTCTAGGTGTTTTAGTGCTCCATTTGGCAGTGAAATACGATTAACGTAAGTAGCTGGTCAGGTCTCTGCGAGAATAAGTGTTGCTACCTTTGTTTATTTTGTGGCTAATCCTATTCTTCGACTTCGGTGGAAGCAGGGTTGGGTTAGTAAGACTGCAGTCTTGATTAAACTAGACGTTGATTTGCACGATGTTTGGGGGTGGTTTGGTTTTGTTTGTAAAAGAAACAAACACATGGCAAATTTTCCATTTTTCAGCGTTTCCACCCATCTTGGAAAGAGGTGTTGTTTTTTTTATTTGATTGGCTTACGCAATTAGACTCAGTGGATGAGATGGGAGGAAAGATTTGCTGCCAGCACTAATTGAGAGCAACTGAATAATACGAACCCTCTCAATTGTAAGCGTGCAGGATGTTTAGAAAATGATTTTTCAAATCAGGGTCGTTACAATACAGGTGTATGTATTTTGATAAAATAAAGGTGACCTTTGCTATTTGAAGATCCCAACCCATCAATACAATATAAAGCATAGGCTTGAAGATCATAAGCCAAATGCCGTTTATTGGGGACATAACAAGTGAAACTAGTGGTGGTTCTGTCGTAGCTGTCCCCCGGGGAGCATCTGCTCGGCCCGCTGCAACGAGAGCACGCTTGTGCCCGTGGCTGTACCTCTACCTCTCCTCGGCACCCCTAAACTTCTTGTGACCCATTTGAGCTATTTTGACAGAACTGCTATACAGATATTACTAATAGGATCAACGTTATTTGTCACCAATTACTGTTAAGGAAGGAGAATTGCTGCCCTGCAGAGCTGTGTCCTAACAGGGAAGACTTCCACGATTCAGAAAGGTTGCACCAGTCTCGTGCTCCCCACGTGTTGATCCTGCTGCTCTTCCTCTCCGTGCGCCACAACACAGCTGTTAGAAATCATGTCTTCTATGTGTGGATGGGTTGAATGTCCTAAATGGTTGATTTACGTTTTTAGCAGAAAGCTAATTTTTTTTTTTTTTACCTGATGCCTCTTTAATTGTGGTTCTCCTTTGCCTGAAATCCTAGCATTCGCCTTGACTCTGGATGCATGGTTATGCGAGGCCACAGCTACTGCTTGTCACTGGAGTGAGGATGTGAACTTAGATGTGTGGGTTGTATTACTACTGAAAGGAAGAATTAAAACCACTTCAACCAGTATAATTAATACCCCCCCCCCCCCCCC